AACAGGCTTTAAAAATCCTCGCAATTTGTCATGCGTTATTAGATTTTTAAGTTTAATATTATTTTAGTCAAATCTTGATAAATTATTTGTGTAAGAATTTTGTTCCTTTCATACTTTTCACATATTTTTTGGTAAATCCTATACTAAACATTGTAAAACCAATCTCAAGTTTCAGCCTTTGTTTGAGGCCATTTCGTAGTCTCCATTAGGTATATCAACGCTACATCAACCATTGAGATATATACTGAAAGGAAAAACAAACGCATTACAGATGCATGAATTTTGAAGTGAATTAAATTGATTTTTTTCCGTTTTAATTTTTTCAGCAATCCTATCTAATTTTTGAAATAATCTTTATTGAAAATGTAACCAAAACCCCATTTGATTTTCACTCATAAGAATGATATGGAGATAACGAACAGTATTCAATATCAAAGTCATAAAACAATATACATTTATTGCATGATAGTGAGTGAAACTATGAAGACTTATTCAGCCAAGAAAAATCATATTCCCCGAGGGCCTCGTCCATTTAAAATTATGTATAATAATACAAAACAGGAGCAGGGCAAACACGGACCTCCGAAACATCAGTAGTGGGATCAGATGCCATGGAGAAATGAGCATCCCCCGCTGACCGGTCACACACGCCGTGTGCTTATTGTCATGATCGTGAAATAACGGAAAAATCCATCGTCAATTCAGTGTATAAATAATGGACTAACAATGGGTATGAAAAACGTCAGTCAGCATTTGACTCAATGATAAATATTATTTGCTGACAAGGTCATTGTATCGACCATAGAACTTACGAAATGATGAAGTTAAACGAGACATGATATTCTTGTTTCATCAACTTGTTTGTCAATAATTTACCTCGTTTCAGAAATTGTTCATAGTAGAGCATGCTCCTGCGTATCGAATCAACTGATATATATATATACTCCGTATGCAGGTGATGAAGGTATAATGCTGCATAAGTAAGGGAAGTTGACAATAGAAAAATTTAAGTCATCACGTTTATCCTATAGCGTTTCTCATACTAATTGTTAGTCCATTATTTATACACTGAATTGACGACGGATTTTTCTGTTATTTCCTGATCATGACAAGGAGCCAACGGTGGATGAGACCGGTCAGCAGGGGATGCTCACTCCTCCATGGCACCTGATCCCATCTCTGATATTTTGAAGGTTCGTGTTTGCTCTGCTCCTATTTTATATTGTTTTATGGACTTTGAGATAGAAATACTGTTCGTTATCTCCATATTTTTCTTATACATGTTCAAAGATTATAAATTGTTGAAGCACAATTTGTTTTTATCTTTACAATCAGCAACAAAATATCATAACATTTTGATAAGTTATTACACAAATAGGATCTATAATAGGATTTCTACATTGTTTTTTTTTCAACCGAAAGGGGGAATATTCTGAAAAGCAATATATAAAAATATTCAGAACAATATTCTTAAAAAATTGCAAGCATTTAATTTTCGACCAAACAATTTCGTTTATGACTTGAAGTGCTAGCTAGACCATATATGTTTCCTATTTCGAAGAAAATCTTGAATTGATCTCGAAGGAGTGTACTTAATCAGGCGACAATCAAATAAGCAGCCTTGAACAGCATAATGGATTTAATCTTTCTTTATTGATAACATTTAAAAAACAAACAAACAAACAAAAAAAAATGAATGAATCAAAAATGATTATCCACAAATTTTGCAATGAAATGTTATCATAGATACCAATTGCGCTCCGTTATTAGCAGACCTATCCTTATATTCAGATGAAGCAGGATTTGTGCAAAATCTAATGCATGAAAAGAAGGAAACACTTGCCGTGGCTTTCAACTCGACATTTAGATACATCGACGAAGCATTGTCAATTAACAATGATCATTTCCATCCCTACGTCGATACAATATATTCTGTTTAGCTTTAGGGGTGGGACGATATACCGATACACCGATACATATCGATATTTTCCTCTAAGATACGGTTTACGATACAAGCATTCAAATATCGGTACGAAACGATACACGAACGACCTATCCAAAATTGAAAATGAAAGTACATGTCCTTGGAAAATGGCGGCTTGTACGAAGCGAAAAGTTGATGTTGATTATTGAAAACACACTTTAGAACTAATAAGTGGTTGTTTAGGGGTAAAATGTTTCCATTTTTAAGCAGCTTCGGAAGATTTGACGAAAAAAGTGCAGTATATAATGCGTGCTATACACAGAAAGGATCGTTTCCAGAGCATATGATATTATTAATTGTTAGTCCATCTCGTATTTTTTTTGTAATCTCAGCTTTGCTACAGACTTTCAGCAATTAATAAAAATGTAAATGTGATGTTTTTAAATGAATTTTAGTCCGTGTTCTCTGATGAACTACACAACTATTTGTAAACAACTTCTTAAAAGTAATTTGGTAATAATAAATATGTACATGTTTTATTTTCTTTGTAAAGTTTTATTGAATGATATTGATGAACTTCAAGTATTAATTTCAAAGCACACATGATTTGAAATAGAATAATTTGTTGATTTAATGTCAAGGCAAAAAAAAAAAAAAAAAAGAGAAGAAAAGAAATAAAATACTAATTATTTTGAATAGTTTTACATGATGTTGACTTTTAAAATGACAAGACACATATGATTGAAATAAAATACTAATTTTTAAAAATAGTTTTATAATTTATCAAAATATCGAGATACGTATCGTATCGTGCCAATATATCGAGATACTTATCGTATCGCAAGATCTGTGTATCGTCCCACCCCTAGTTAGCTTGAGATAAAAGATATCACAGAGTCTGACACATCTGTTTCATACTTTGATATTTTACTTGAAAAAGACGTTAATGGTAACCTAACAACCAAGCTATAGTATAAACGTGATGACTTTAACTTTTCTATCGTCAACTTCCCTTACTAATGCAACATTATACCTTCATCACCTGCATGCGGAGTGTATATATCCCAGTTGATTCGATACGCCAGAGCTTGCTCTACGTATGAACCATCTCTAAAACTAGGTAAATTATTAACAGGTAAGTACCAGTAGATGAAACAGGACTATCAACAGTCTCGTTTAAATCAATATTTCGAAAAATTCTATGGTCGATACAATGACCTTGTCAGATAAAATAAAATTATCATTGAGACAAATGCTGACTTACTTTTTTCATACTTATTGTTAGTCCATTATTTATGCACTTAATTGACGACAGATTTTCCCGTTATTTCCCTATCATGACAATGAGCAAATGGCGGGTATGACCGATCAGCAGGGGATCTCACTCCTCTATGGCACCTGATCCCACCTCTGATGTTTCGGAGGTCCGTGTTTGCTCTGCTCCTATTTTGTATTAAGTTATGGACTTTGATATTAAATACTTTTCGTTCTGTCCATATCCTCCATCCATTTTTATCATGAAGTTTCACAAAAAGAAGAGTCTTAATTGACTAGAACACTAAGCCTCTTTATTTCTCAGTACATATTTTAATGAATTTTAGGATAAGTTAGAATAAGATTTTTAAAGTTAATGTTATGTGAATAATCAGAATGAAATATAAGGGGTTTTTTTTATTTAAATATCATCATTGAATAACGAATAAAAAAAAATCTCCTATCCTCAAACAAGACGTATTATATAAAAAGATTATTTTCGGAGTTTTAATTGTCTGAAATTACGTCACGTGATATTTCTCCTTTTGTGATATCGATGCAAACGCGCGTCCGCGGAAAATGATATCGCATGACACGCCGTTCGGTTGCACCAAAGTTGCGTAGTACGTGACGTCATAATATAAGAAGCGTGAATTTACCAATTGAGACGTTATGACAGCCAAGTCTGTTTTGTTAGGACTGTGTCAGTGCATTCACGTTGAGTGATTATATAATATATCTATTATGACTTTCAGTGAACGAATAATATGTGGTTATAAGGACTCATGGCAATTGATATTGACCTCAGACACAGAAAATGATAGCGACCTCGCAGGCTCGGTCGCTATCACTTTCTATATCTTCGGTCATTATCAATTGCCATGAGTCCTTATATATGTTACCACATATCGACCTACACTGAAGACATAATTGCATAATATCGAACAGAAGATAACATGTTTTTCTATTATTTTATGATAACATAATATGAAAAGCTGTGTATTATTCTAATATTGATTTGAAAAGAATGTGCATGTAAAATTATTCATACTAAATATTTTTATTATTTCGTTATAAAATTTCAGTTGATGGAATTTCTGATGACGTTTTTGTACCCCTCAACACTATGGCAACATTAAGATTTAGCACGCAGTGTAAAATACGGCAGTGTTTTCAGTGCCATAGAGAAACAGAATTCTGCTGTAAAACTTGTGAACAGAACCTATGTCGACAGTGTAAAGAATCACATTCTCAAAATTCTGATACAAAATATCATAAATTGGTTTTCTACATTACCTACCGTGGTGAAGAGAGCTTTACTATATGATGTAAAGTACGACAGTGTTTTCAATGCCAAGGGGACACAGAGTTCTACTGTAACACTTGTAAACATGACCTGTGTCTACAGTGTTAAGAGAGACATGTAACTGACCTAGAGACCATATATCATAATGTTGTGATTTACCGTGAGAAATATGAAAACGTTTCAAAACAAGAAATTTGTAAAACACATTCAACAGGAATATATGAAATGTTCTGTCTCGTATGTAAACTTCCAATCTGTTTCGAATGTAAAGGACACAAAAAGCACAAAACATTAGATATTAGATCAATATATAAAAGAAACCGTCAACAAACCAAAGAAATCATTCACAATATCAGAAGTGAGACCCTTTATAACAGCAATTACCTCCTTGGTGGAATAAAAAATGACATAAAAACGTGTTTTGAGGAAATTGCCTACCTTCAGTCAGTGACGTCAAAAAAAGCCCAGAATCTTAAAAAGGACATTGACACAGTATTATATAATATTTTATATAAAATGACTAATAGATTACCGGATCAGCAAAGAAAAACAAAGAGACGCCTTACGAAAATAGAAAACTATGAACACATATTTGAACATTCAGCATATAGTCCGATACAGTTTCTCTTTTTCCTAAAACGAAACCGTGTCTCCAATTTGATGAACACTCTTGAACTTACAAAACATGCCCTGCTCTCCCAGACTGAAGAAACCAAAATGGATGATGTGAATGAATTAGGTGAAATTCAAATCATAGAAACTGGAAAAAGACAAGTAAGCAATGAATGTCTTCTGAAACAGATGTCGAAACCCCTGGCACACAGATCACTCAAAATAATTGGTATAGGTCATGTAAGTCATATTTCCTTTGTGTCATACGGTCGTGTCTGGATCAATGATTGCTGGGAGGACACCCTCTTATTGACAAACACAGCAGGTGATAGACTGTATCACATAACAGATCAAAATATTTTTTCTGGAGTACACACGGTAAACACTTCCAGTGATCTTATATATATAGATAAGTATGATAATATAAATAAACTATCTAAGGACTACAGAAAGAAGTCAATACTGATAAAGAAAACAACACCATGGGAACCACGTTGTATCTACTGCTCTCCCTCTAACGGAGATCTGCTGGTCGGGATGTATAAATATACAGACACAGATGAAGGCAAAGTAGTACGGTATAACTCAACGGGAAAACACATACAAAAAATAAAATACAAAATCTCAGATCAGATACCGAACTTGATCACGAAGGTGCACAACCGAACACATTTGAATCTCTATAGTAAACCGATCTACATCACAGAAAATCGCAATGGAGATGTCATTGTTTCTGACATACTTCGCAGTGCTTTAGTGGTGACAGAGCATGGAGGACGTTATCGCTTCTCCTACAAAGGACCTCCATCAAAATCACGACTAGAGCCACTAGGAATCTGTACAGACGCATTGTTAAACATCCTGGTGTGTGATGCTAACAACCACACAGTACAGATGATTGACAAAGATGGTAATTTCTTGTCACTGTTACTGACACAAGACCAAGGGATATACTATCCGGGGAGCCTAAGTTATGATTACAAAGCTCATCTTCTCTGGGTCGGAACTAGAGTCAACAACAGAGTGCGTATATACAGATACATTGAGAGGCAGAGCTAGATGACAGGTCATATAACTGTCATATTAGATATATGTAAACAAAATTCAGACATACGCAGGATATAATTACAATTATATTTAATTATAATTATAGATCTGTTTACTCCATCTTATACAATTTTGAGGAGCAAAAGTAAGATAAAAGTATAGAAATCCTTTCAAAGAGTTGTCCACTTTCGCCCACAAATTTTATTTTTTCAAATGCTTCATAATTTTACATTCTATTCATATCTATTCACATACATGTATACTAATAAACATACTATCATCGTCTGTATTCATGTTCGTGGACCCAAGGTAAGTTCAATTAAAAAATTAATCAATTTTGAGCTCATTTATGTATATTTTGAGAAATATACGGTGTCCCGAAATGAACTGACATTCGGTTTAATATATGATGTACGTCGTACAGCGTCAACACCCAGGCAGAATGACTTGAGTATTGAAAATATAAGTGAAATAACATGAATCTCATTTAATAATAAAAAAAAATCAAGTTTCTATATATGAAATTTTCAGTTGAATACTGATGATATGTTGTCTGAGTCATAGATCACTTAAAGGTTATGTTTCTTGTTTGTAATAATTATATTATGAAATGTTATGTATTAATTATCTTATTTTTTGCTAATTTTTCACATGAATTGTTAATGATACAGTGTACATTTGCATGTGTATAAAATCAGTCTATTAAAACAACACTACTCTTTCTTTCCTTCACAATTATTTGCGGGTAAAATGTACATATTCTAATATTTATTTTTTTTATTATGTTCTCATCATATTAAGGATTGAAAACAAGACATAAAATAAATATTCAAAAATAATGATAGTAGATTATTGAACGATTATTTGAAAACAATACTATATCGCCTTTATTTGTCCAAATGTGGGTTTAATATATTATGTCAATTAAAAACAAAGAAATCGAGTTTGAATAAAAATAATAAATATTGCAGTAAAAAAGTCTATGAACAAAACGTTTGAAGAAGTGTTTTTGATAATTTTAAATATTTTCCTTATGACCATGTCCCACTAAGAATGACTGAAAATCGTAGTTGCACTTGCAGGGACTATTACTAGTATTATTTAAAGTTTCTGTGTGTGTTTTAAATCCATTTGATAACAAGGAAACTTGTTAAAAACAATAAACTTATATTGAACCGTCTTCACGTGCATACAGAGTATATATATCTCAGTTGATTCTATACGCAAGAGCATGCTCTACGTATGAACAATTTTTAAAACGAGGTAAAAAATTGACAAGCAAGTTGATGAAACAAGAATATCAGCAGTTTCGTTTAAAGTCATCATTTCGTAAGTTCTATGGTCGATACAATGACCTTGGCAGCAAATACAATTTATCACTGAGTCAAATGTTGATTGACGTTTTTCATTGTTAGTGACAATGAGCACACGGCGGGTGTGACCGGTCAGCAGGGGATGCTCATTACTCCATGGCACCTGATTCCATCTCTGATGTTTAGGTGTTTCGTGTTTGCTCAGCTCGTATTTTGTATTGTTGTATGGACTTTGATATTGAATACTGTATGTTATCTCCATTTCCTTCTTCTTACACAAGTTCTGGAATATTTTGTTGCACAGTACTCCTGAAATTTTTCCTTTTTTGTTATCAGCCGAAGCAGCGGCCGATCTATTTGTGGTTGTGTTAGAAAGTGATAACATATATAAAATGATGCGTAAAATATTTTAAAATTATGAAAGAGTTCCTTTTAATTCAGTGGGATAATTCTGCTAAAGATATGATATTCCTAGTACATGAGTCCAAATTTAATACTGTAGGCCTAAAACAAAATGCCAAAATTAAAAAAAGAAAAAAAAAATGTCACAATATATATGGAACTTTAATTTATTATGTTCATTTTGACTGGCTATTTCCTTATGTATGACCTATAAAACTTATTTAACATTGTTCAAAATCACCTCATTAAACATGGAATACCTTAAATAATCATGTCTATTTTTGTTTCCAAACTTAATAATAATCTTACAAAGAAAGACAAACATAGGGTTCTTGTTTAACTCCTCACTAAAATATTAACAAGATTCTGTAAATAGGGCTCATTTAAAATCAAATCCAAAATGTATTACAAGCAGTAGAAATTTTGAAAGTAGAATAAAGTTGTGCACTCACTGAAGAGGGGTCATGGAAACTCAACACTGGAACTTTGTGAATCTGTAGGGGCACCTGTTGTAAAAGGAAGTATAGTGGTCCATCATCTAAAACAACAACAAAATAGACAAAATTCCTTTAAAATGAAACAGAAACTGTTAAAATATATTATTATACTTTCATGTTAAATACTACAATCTGATTGGTTTAGACGCAGTTAACAATCTGTTCTATTACCCTCAGCCGTAGCAACACACGTGGCAACGGGTAACACAACGGTAATGCCACATGCGTGGAAATAATGCGCGTACGGTTCACCGTAGAATTCTCAGAACGTCAGTTGCGCGTTTGAAAGAACAGGAATAAATTTGACGTCAATAAAAGCTCGTCTCCGAAGTAGCTTTCATGAAAACAACAAACGACAGACGAAACATGCTTGAGAGTACAGAAATAACGAACCTTTAGATGATAAAGGACTTAGAGTATCAAATTAACAATAAAGAGGTCAGTAAATCTTTTTTGAAGTAGCGGGGAGTTTGAAAGCTTTCTAAACGTGAACGTAAAGACGATCGACGATATTTTTTGCTGACATCCTTAATCAAGAAGACATTCAGTATAATAAAATAAATGGTGCCTGTTTTGGAGGGTAACAGTTGAAATTGGCACCCCTCGGAAAACCATTGTCAACCTCCGCTGACGCGTAATATCATAGAAAATACCACAGATCTAAAAGATAACAGCTGTATGATAAAAAAATCAAAAGACACTTACAGTAATTCATTGACAGATCCAAAATTAAAAAAGGAAGTTGAAAGACTGTGAAGTGTGTGTGGGTGGGGGGGGGCATTGATGATATGTACATGCATTTCAAATGTATAAAATTTGTATTTAAAATATATATTGTGAACTATCTTGCATGTAATAATTGTTTTTATGGTTCATTATGCATTGATTATTTTCAACTGTGTAAATGGAGAAAATGTGGACATGTGAATAAATGTATAATTGTACGTGTAATATGTGACATTTTCTTATACGAGAAAGTCTGTACATGTAAAAATGTTATATTCTTTATTATTTCGCTCATTAAAATTATTTGAATTCAAAATCTTGTTTTTCTTACCTGTGTGATGAACACA